ATTTCCTAATAACTTTCAGTAAAGGAAATAAAAGAGCTAGTGGAATACTGGAAAACTGGGACATGCAAGTGGACTGCCACCAAAGCAAATTTGAACACTTCTGTTGTGGCTTCAGTTTTATTTTCCCCCATTCAAGCTTTACCTGCTGTTTTATGTTCGTCTTACAATGTGTATAATAGGAGTTTATGTAGCATTGGTGTAATCTTTATTTGTGTCTTAATTTCCCACACACCCCCAGTCCTATAGTTTACATAAATAAATTTCTGCCTTGCTTATAGGCTGATTTCGCCGTTTCATCAGTATTCAGTATTGGAAGAGAGTATATGCTAGCAGTAGAGAATGTGCTCATCAACATGAGTTGTTGGAAATCACCTTCTATTCCTGACACATCCTAGACTTTGCACAGATAAAACTTGTTCTTTATTCAAGGATTTGGCTTTTGTTGCAGTGAGAAACAAAGATTTTTTTCAAGTGGGACCTGTGTTCTTTAAAACAATCATTATACTTTCTGCATTTTTAACTAAGAAAATAAACTAGTTAGTCCTCTATCACATTTCAGATTGGAGTTTGCCTTACAATTGAATTAAATGTTTTGGATTCACCTTCGAAGTTGTGGAGACAGGAGTTCCCTTAGTTCCAGTTATTAAACTAATTGTGTGCCAGCCCCCAAGGTTTCACTGTTACTTACCTTAATTTTTCTAACATCCTACAAGAATAAAGACTGACTTACTTCTTAGTACATTCACTGTAATATTTATTAGTATTTTCGAGATGTAGACTTTTTCATCTATGGGTAAAGGTAATGAAAAGATAAAAGGAGTAAGGCTCAGAAAAAAATGTTGGCTCCTATAGGGTAGGAGACATGCTTAGACAAGTAAAAGCTGTTAAGTAAAAGTGTAAAAGCTGGGGACTGCAGCGTTACTGTTATTGTGCATTGCTGCAAGTGCTGTACATGTGCAGCCGAGGGAGACCTGAGCAGTTTTCTCTGGTGCTGCTCAGAATTTTGGTTGAGGCTTATGCTCTTCCAGTAAGAGAAGCATTCACTGAGACTGAGATTTTGGAGCAAGCACCGTGTCTTCCTTACCAATCTGAAAAGGTAGGTTTTGCACTAGTAATGGTGGCTGCTGGGACAGGAGCAAGTTCCCATTATGTTGTGTTGACACTTGGCATATAAGCACTTCAGTCTCATGCGACGAGGTGAGCTTGGCTGTGGAAAGAATGTGCTGGTTTGGCTTAACCCACAAAGCCTGGACTGTGACAGCTGTAAATTGAGGTGATGAACCTAAGCATGTGACTGCCAGATGTCTTTGTGTTATTATTCATTGGGTAACACTGGCATGCGTTTAACGTGGAAGAATTCCTTCTTACTTAGTCTAGTGTTTTGTGAGGGGATAATGTTGATTGTAAAAATAACTTATCCTTTTAGGCAAGATGTTTGAATAAATTCTGCCTGTAGCTGTATCCATACATTTGGTGGAGTCTTGGTCTGTGTTTGCAATTATTTTTAATTTGGCATAACTTCTGCTAGTTTCCAAAACAAAACAGGATGTGAAAGATCCACAGATAATGTCAGCATTCTTTAGTTACATACCTATGTTTATACCTTACTTCATAGGATTGAAATGCACATCTTAATGTTATGTGCTTCAGTGAAGCTCATATTTTGCTGCCTAATCTTCCTTTAATCAATAAAAGGTCTGATCTTTTAGCATTAGTATTAATGCTAAACTGTATTGATTGTTGCATCCGTAAGGCTTTCTGGCCTTCTGTCTGGGTTAGCCTTAAAAACCCTGTTGCGCTCATCCTGCCAGCTTTCTCAAGCCGGGTGTCCCACCTGCGGCTCGACGGGCAGGGACCTCTCCTACTTCCCACCACCGTGGCAGGAGGATCCATAGGTGGCAGCGCTATTCCTCGCCCATGCTTGTCAGCTTAGGAGATGGATATTTACTGCAGTAATCTCCGTGACTATTTGCAAAGACTTTTTTTCCAGTTTAACTTAATTCACATATGAATAAAACTTTTATAGAGCTCTTCATGAAGAAGCTACTTTTCTCCTATAATACAATTCCATATGGCAGAGCATATCTACTGTGACAATGTGGGTTTATTTATATTTTGTATATCCAATTCAAATATTTTGACTTCAGCCTTAAGCACTGTCACATTTGAGAAATTGGAAGAAAACCCCCTCTGAACACTTCAACAAAAAGTTGATGCTAATTTGGTAACAGGAAAATCACAGTTTTAGAATATCCCCCTTAAATTGTTTGGAAGCACAGGAAGCTGCAGGTAGGCTATACTCCTGTCAGTTCATGTGGGTGCTGTGTCATTTTTTTTCTTTAGCTAAAAGGTCAGGGGGATATGTTGTACTCTTCATTTGCTCTTTCCGTTAGTCCTTTGAAGAGAGAGATTTGATTACGTTTTATTAAAATAGTACAAATAAGTATCCGTTGATTTTGAAACTTACATTAAGATGGAGTTAATGATTTAAAAAGGCACCTTGTAGTTACATTAAAGGGAAAAAAATCTGAAAGCATATATGTTGCCTGGTCCTTAAGTAAACACTGACAGAAGTTTCATCCCTTGGGTCATACAGAGCTGTTATTTTACTGACTCTAGGAAAAAAAACGTTTGTTACTTTGTCAGAGTGTGTGTCTGTAATAGCAGACTAAGCAAACCTGGGCATCTTGCTCTGCTACTACACTGTAAGATCAGAAGTTTTGGCCAGATTTGAACAATCATATAGAATTTTAGGAAATTACCAGAGATTCTGAACTTTGTCTTTAAACTGTTCAGCAAGTTACCTGATTTGTCTTAACCAAAGACAAATCGCCTTAATCACCTTCTTAATCAAAAATCCTTGCTAAAGAAGGGACAGAGGAAGGCTAAGCACCGTGCCTTGTTGGGGAAGAGAGTCCCAAGGCTGTCTCGCTTTGCTTGAGAGGTTCTGGCCCTTCTGCTGTTATGCTGCCTGTGGATCTTCATCTATGAGGAGAAGAGGTCAGGTGGGGCAGAGTCATGTTTTATTTAAGTCTCTGGATTGTAGGCGTTTGGGGGGGGGGGGATTGTAGGTGTTGGGGGGGGGGGAAGGGGGGAAGTGTCCTCCTAAAGAGCTTAATTCAGAAAGTACTTTATCCTTCTACATACTTTGGGAGAATTAGGAAGTCAATTTTTTTTTTTAAGTGATTTGTGTCTTCATTCTTAAGTATATAAAAAATAAAAGTGGTAAGACTGTAATAGACTACTGTTTTGTTAGTCTCCTAGTAGCTTAGAAAGAGGATGGAAATAGAGATCTATTTATTTTTACTTAGTTTCCCCAACAGCCTGCATTTTCTAAGATGTCATTATCCTTATCTCTATTGCATGTCTCTGCTGCTTGTAATTTCCCCAAGCAACAGAATCAGCAGAACAAAATTGGTGTGTAGCTTTTTGGCTTGTTTTTTTTTTTTTTTTTTGACAATTTCATCATTTCACAAAGTCACTGTATTACAGCAGTGCTGTAGACAGCAACTGAGGCATTCAAGGTGATTGTAGGCTTAGGGAAACGGCATTGCACTAGTTCACCTTCTTCATGTAAGAAGGTAGGGTTCTTTACAACCACAGAAGTCGTCCTTTTTTTCATGAAACACATGAATTTAAGTTTTGTATAAAAACCAGTGGCTTTGATACCCCCCGGGTTTTCTAGAGAAAGCTTTTTGGCTATCAGTGGTGAGTGACTGATTAGATTCTGCAAAAGTTGACGTCTTTGCTCCAGTTCTCCGTAGTTCTTGTCAGCTCTTTGGAGAGCTGTCAACTTGAGATCTGGGCTGTTTGGAACATAGCTGTGAAATAGTTTCAGGTATTTAATTTGGTTTTGTCTTTTCCTGGCAGTTGGTGGTTTTACACCTGCATGGGGAAGATACAAAAATCTACAACGTGTGTGGTAGAAGAAAAGCGGCTTACTGCACCATACTTTACAGATAAACTGTGCTGACATACAGTTCTGTCAAAAGCATAGTGTCAACTGGAAAAAGTGCATCTATTTTTCTCTTGGTTAATGATATGTTACTTGTAACAATAGCAGCTGAATGAGTTTTACTTGAAAGTTTGTTTTGTGTTCTTTAATATAAAGAATGTTGCATTGTATTTGCCAGACTTGCTTCTTCAGGGATAGCTCTACATCAAAAAGTTTTCTGTGTGATGGGAAATAACCAAAATTTATTTTTTTTAATGTTGTATTTCTAGAAGGCATTTTTATCACCTGTCAGCTAATTGAATTGAGAGTATTTGCCACTTGTTGAGGTACAGGATTTCGTTTAAAAAAAATAAATTTTGGATTGACCAATTATCAAAATTAATGTTGCCAAGAAGTTTATGTACTTATAGTATACGTTGATTGATCAGAAGTTGTTAAAGCATGAGTATAAGCATGGTATCTTCTCACTTTTAGCTTTTTCCTGTGTGTTTACAGTTTTTCCAGGTTACAGTGTGCTTTGTGCTCTGCTCTTATGCTTGCTTGATAATAATAAAGGACTAAATACCATAGCCATTGGCCATCATGTCACTATGTAGGGTCTTCGTATTATATCATCTTCCCATATCAGGCTCTCTTGGTATAAGTCGTCTTAACTTTTTACTTCTGAATTCTGCAAATATGGTTACCAGAGGATTCAATCATCTGTTAGCCTCTCTTTTGAGACCAGCAGCCATCCTTTCTAGTGATGAAATGGTATGTGCATCAGTCCACAGAGCAAGAAACAGTAAGTGTGTGTTTGGATGTGCAATAAATGAACTTCCCGGACTAGGAGGTTGCAACTTTCCTACTGTAACCTTCAACATTACAGCATTACAGGCGTGTTGGTTTTACTTTTTTTTTTTTTTTTTTTTTTTTTTTTAGATTTAAACACAGGCTTTGATGTTTAAGATGATTTTAAATCTGTTGGACTTTTGGACTTTATTTGTTAATTCTTGAGGTATTTTAGATTCTTTTATGGCTTCAGTATTTCCTTGTCTCTTCATAGGACCCCAACTGAATGCACAACTAGAAGGTTGGCTTTCTCAAGTACAGTCCACAAAGAGACCTGCAAGAGCCATTATTGCACCGTAAGTTTGAAATCTGTTTTTTGTATATATAATACTTGATTAGTTAAATGCTTCTTTATTGTGAGTGATTTTGAAAACTGGTGAAAGCTAATTTTTAGCTGAAAGGAATGTCATGTGGTTTCTAAATAAGTATTTTGGATATGGCATGAAATGGAAGAAATCTGTGCACATTTTGGTATATGATTAGTTTCCTTTTGGTGATGGACTGAAGATATAACCCTTCACTTGTGATCCACTAAGATAAGAGGTGTATTAGTGGAGTGGTAGTCTAAAGATGATAGCTCTTTCAGTGCACTACTAGTAGAGAACAACTACACATATTAACACACCCCACCCCCACCCCCCAACAAATAAATGAAAAACCACCATCGCCTCCAAATCAGAACTTAGCAAAGCTTAAAACAAAAGTAATGAAACACTATTCAGCTACTCAAAATGGTTTACTTTTGTTATTTTAGTTTGGTTCTGTTTGGGTTTTTTTGTCCACAGGAGAAATAGGGATCATCTAAACTATTTAGGTAGAATTCGATTTACTGAAGATGGTTGAGACATAGAATAAGAAAAGTATGTTGGTCATTCCAATTTATTGTGAGTTGGAAGGAAACACTAGAAAAAGCACCTTAAAAATGATGTTTTTCCTGTACTGACATAGCATTGGCATAATATTTGAAGTATTCCATAATAGCATTGAATGTGCAAAAGAAATTGTCCCAAATCTGCCTGAGTGTTTCTCGCAGGAATGTCTGGAAACAGGCCTTTCAGCTGTGGATTAGGTAACCTGGGTTCTTTTTCCAGAACTTCTGGAGGTCTTCCCGTGGTCTCACCAAATTGTTTCATTAACCGTGCCTTTGTTTTCCCACCTGTAAAGTGGGATATGGCTAATAATATTTTTGTGAAAAACTGAAAAAGCCTGTAGCAGAGGGAACCTTTCAGAAGGCTCTGTTGACATTGTCATATAACATACCTTGCTGGTTCACTAAGTTTCAGTCTCCTGTTTATCCTTTTAGCATGTATGTTAGTACCTTTCTGAGCTCTTCAGAATGAGTGAGGTAAGTGATGCTGAAATAAAACCCCAGGGTAATTTTCAGGATAACTTGCTCCAGGTGATGTTCTGTGGATGTGTATACATGCATGTATGCATACATACATATGTAAATGTACATGCAAGTGTAAAATCCTCCAGTGCTGTCAATGGGGAGCTCGTATCTTCAAATGTCCTGTATGTCCCAGGACTTGGGGCACGTATCATTCTCAGTGTCATTGTATAAAAAGACCATCTGGAAAGCTGTAGTTGTGTTGTTTGCACATACTTGACTCAAAATAAATTATAACTATTGACCTAGGGTCACAGGCGCTCCAGATGAGCTCCAGAGGCGATGTGGCCCAAGCACTGTGCAATGTGGGCATGGCCTTCTGCTGTGGACATGCTGCTGAGTGACCGTGAGCTGTTCTCCACCACTTGGCCTGGGACCCTGGGGAATGAACGTTCTCTGGAATTAATGCTTTTAGCACTGTAAACTGAGTCTTCTCCTGTTTTTAACAGTCTTGAAGGGAATGGGTCTTAAGATTTGAAACAAATAATCAGAATAATTATTAATGTTTTTGGGGCACACACAGGAACACGGGTTGAGAGAGGCTCCAGGCCGGAGTGATAGGAAATGATAAAGCATATGTTGTGTTCTCCACAGTAAAAGCTACCCGTACTGTGTTCCACTCCTTTCCTTGTGCCTATTCATTCTGTTGCTGAGGTATTCTTCTTCAATGACAGAGCATTTTTATTCTCTGTTTATCTGCTGTAACGTGTAGTCTCTCTTTGCCAGACCCCTCTACTGTCATCGTATTCAGTTACTGGAGTGTGGTTAGAAGAGCTTCTCCAGCAGCTTGCTATTCCCTTGTCCCCTGGCTGCACTCTTAGCATTATCATGAGCTTCTGGTAATATGCAGTTGTGTAGTCTGCCTACTAGTATCTTTTAAAAGTAATGAAAGGTGCTTTAATCTGGAGGCTTACTTACTAACTTTCAAGTAAATGGTCACTGATAGTTCTTCAACAAATACGTCCCTCGTACACTCAGTACTGGAACAGTGCTCTCCAGCTGTTTCAGGAGTTGATTTTTGGATCACTCTTACTATTTCTAGCTCACTGGGGACACATAATATTTAAGATATTAACATTTAATAGCAATATCAACATATTTAAGATGTTAATATTTAACATGTTAACATTTTGTACACCTTGATTTGCAGCCATGCAGGATATACCTATTGTGGATCTTGTGCAGCCCATGCTTACAAACAAGTGGATCCTAATATTACGTAAGTATAAAAGTTTTTCTTTACAAAGTGTAAGACAATGCCATTGCAATTTTCTGAACTTGAATGTTCTTTTTACATTCTTATACCTCGAAGTACTCAAATTTTAATTTTGTACTCTTTTTAGTCTTTTATGCATCCCTTCTGTTTTAACATCATAAATGTTCGAATTGTTTGGATGTTGCAAAAGAAAAAATAATGTAGTATTGTTGAAAATGAAAATGTAAAGCAGTATTTTCAAAAATTATTGAGAATTATTGGTAAATAACTTCTTAGAAGGGAGGGGTTAATGGTGTTCTTTTGCAGGTAATAACATTTAATTTACTTTATTGCTTTATGTTCCACTGCTTTTATAAAAGTCCAAGCTGGGTTTTTTTTACTGGTCACAGGGTGTCTTTGTTTCTTTTTTTGTTTTGTTTTTGTTGGGAGGTTTTGGTTGGTTTTTAAGTATATTAAAATATTTGATCATGATTCTGCATTGGTTTTTCAGTGCAGGATTATGGGCTGAATGCTACCAGGATTCTCTTCTGCTGTGGAGAAAGTGACCAGTGTGTGTATATAATATTGGAAGTCAGTGAAAGTTACTTGCTGTAATAATTTTAACTGGACTTGTGTTTTTTAACAGCACAACAGTTTAAAAACTGAAAAATTAAAAAAAAAAAACCAACACGCTACTGCAGTCTGTGCCTGCCTCTGAAAATACGAATCCAGTTATTCTAGGTTAAAGGAGTATAATTCTTACGTGTTCAGCTGACTGCAACTTTTTTTTTAAATGTCAAAAATTTAAAATATCTCCAGTATTTACTCAAAGTATGTATTTTGCAATGTTAATATAAAAATTGGCTATGTCTGTCAGTTGCTTATGAGATAACACGTTGTAATGCTCTCCAAAGGCAATGGGTTTGATTCTTTCTAAACTATTGTAAACAAAGTGAAGATAACTTACAGTGTGACAGATAACTAGTTTTTCTAAAATTTCTAGAACAAGTTGCATTCCCCAGGTTCAGTGACATGGAGTTGATTGAACTTTCTGGATCATTTGCTATTTTACCACATGGGATGTTTAGACTTGGCCAGTCATTCATCTTTCAGCTGAAGTATTGCACATTTGGATATTTTGTTTTTGTGAGCTCTGTAAAAAGTTTTAGTGTGTTAGTATAGCTTGCTATAGCACTCCACATGTAAGGGGAAAAAGAAAAAAATCTTTACATGTCTGCCACCTCTCTAGTTCAGTGCCAGAAGCAAGATGATATTATCCTAAACCTGAAAAGCTGAATTTCCTGTAGGTTTTTTTCTTCTTTTCTTTAAGTCCTGTGGTAGGAGACCCTTAACGTCTAATCGAGAGCCAGGAACTGAGGACTTGGATGAAATAACATCACGATGACGTGTGAAAGCTTGCAGTATCAGCTAAAGCTACGAATGTGCAGGTCCAAGTCCCTGTTGTTGATGCAACAGCTAGATAAAACCAGCATTTGAGAATGACTTAGATTTGAATTTGGTGAAATCCTAAGTAAGGCTAATCAAGTAAATAAGTGAAAAGCTCTGAATAGATGATAAATCCATAATCCTCATTTGAGAGCGCATACCTGTAGTTGTTGAAGGTGGTGTGTAACTGAAGGTTGTGTTGGTCCAAGGAGAGAATCCAAAAATCTGTTCTAAGGGGCTATAACACATCATTCAGCCTCCAGATGAGTCCAGTCAGACAGATTTCTAGCTGATGAGTGCCCTCTGATATATAACCTGCTTAAGAGGTTTAAGGCTACGGGAAGCATTATTGAACTGATCTCATGATCATTTCTGAGGTACCGAGCAAGGCTAGGCCATAGATTTGATCTGTGGTCTTACACACAGCAGAGTAAAACTCTATTGGTAACCACCAGAAAGTATCACTTTGTACGTTTTTATTAAACTTGTTTCTCTAAACCAAGTCTCTGTACAATTGCAGTTGTCTAAATTGTGGGCTTTTGTGTTAATTGTTGTAGCCGAAAAATTTTCATTCTTGGGCCTTCCCATCACGTGCCCCTTTCCCGATGTGCACTTTCCAGTGTGGACATTTATAGAACACCTCTGTATGATCTCCGAATTGACCAAAAGAGTAAGTGCATGATAAAGCTTACATCTTGAAGATTGCTGAGGCTTGAGTATTAACTGTGGTACTGCAGTGCTGAGGACTCTCTTGTTGGGCACTTCATTGATTTTAAGTGGCATACAAGTATAAATCTGTTTTCACTGCAATGAAAGCTAACTTCTGAAAGATCCTGGTGGTTGCAGGCATTGCTGTATTATAACCTTAATGTCTCTCTTGCTCCTGCAAGTAAAGAATTCTCAATCTTTGCTTATCTTTTCCATTATGAGTGTGTGCCTCTTGACAAGTGATCTTTAAAAGGGATCTCAAAATTAAAAAGTGTTACATTTTAATAATAGCCCACTACACACCTGCTCCATTACTCTGAAGTATTCTGTCTGCAAAAAAAGATAATGCTTTAGATGGTCTGAGTTTATTTCTAATAGAGGAATAATAGAGGAACAAGAAGCTGCTTTTATTTGGATACATTATTGCATGTAACTTTTTTTTAACTGGCAGAGTACCTACAGAATTGAAAAACGGTTAGTCCATGAAACACCGGTCTTTCAGACTAAGCTTAAAGGTGCGATGAAGATAAATTTGATATTTTGACTTTCATGTGTTTTGAGGTATAGCTAAATAATGCAATACTTTTTTCAGAAGGGCTATTTAGTGCAGATGTATTGCTGTTTCATCATGACTGCGATTAAGCAAGCTAGTTCAGACTTTCCACACAGTGCCTGCAGAAATTTCCTTAGGTAACAAATGTGTCGGTTTCTGTAGAACTCCTTTATGGAGTGGAGAAGGAGGCACAGCCCTACATCAAATTCTTCATCCAGGGGAGAGTTTTCTAAATGTAGAGATGACTCTGCATACCACCAAGTGTACTTGAGAGTAGAAAAGATAACTTACAAATGTGGATTACTTAATCAGTTTTTGCTGTCTCTAGATTTCATGATTTGGTTAATAATGAATTGTATTAAATAGTAACACATGCAGCAATGGTTCAGCTGATCAGCTGTCCAGCATTTTTTTTTTTTTTTTTTTTTTTTTGAAAACACAGTGGTGTAGTTTGTGAAAATAAGAATTCAGTGACTGGGAAAATGCATGCATATTTTCAAATGTGTTTTGTTTGCGTTACTTAAATTTTGTATCATAACTGAAAATCTTTCTCAATATACTAACAAGGTCATTGATTTAACACACTTATTTCGTAAACAGAATCAATTATGTTTGTATCTTGATGACTTGAACATAATTTTAATCCTGAATTTATTTAAAAAACAAATGGTTTATGATGACAGCCCCTGGAGGCAAGTGATTTGTTATTCTGGGCTTGTTCTGATAAAGATGCACTATAGCTTGCTTTACAGTGTTTAAAAAAAAAAAAAAAGTAGTAAAAATTAATCTTTAATTCATTTCAGTTTATGGAGAATTGTGGAAGACTGGAATGTTTGAGCGTATGTCCCTACAGACAGATGAAGATGAACACAGTATTGAAATGCATTTGCCTTATACTGCTAAAGCCATGGAAAGGTACTAGGGCTAATTACTTCTTCTACAAGAATGAGCATTATGTGCATTAAATGTTTGAACTACATGTGAAGTGCAGTAGGAAGTAATAATACCCTTTATGGTATATAAATACCTATATGGTGTATAATACCCACACTCCCCCACCCCCCAGTAAAAATTTTGGGGAGGAGAGGGTCAGAGACTAGGATTAGTTGCTGTAATAGAAACTGTGAGCGGAGCAAACACCTGAATGATGAAATTGGAACACCGCTTATAAACAAGTTTATATTGACTTAATAGAGTTAATATTAGACATGCTTTCGTGAATCTTTCTCAAGAGCTGATTTTTTTTTTTATTTATTTATTTTTTTTCATTTTTGCAAGGCATCTCTGAAAGAAGTTCAAATACTAATAGGTGTTTTCTGTGGGATTTTAAGTTTGTTTGGAGCCTTAATGCTAATTTTGAAATCGGGGTTCTGTTTACACCTGCTATTTCAGATGAATACTTTGAATAATTTTTCTTTAACGGTGATAATTTTTGTCAATTTGTGGTGGTTCCCCCCCATCTTTTTTTTAACTTTTCTTCCGTAGTAATTGTAATCTTCCCCGGAGTAACAGTATACATCTGGGTGGTGTCTTGAGCATTTTCATATACGCTGGAAAACTACCCAACATTTGTGCAGCATCTATACAGGGAGAATTTCATTCTTACTTTATTGCTGGTTTCATTGTGTCTTTTCTTTTTGTTTGCCTGGTGTTTTTTCTTTGCAGCAAAGATAAATACTGTTTTGGGGGGTGGTGTTGGGGGTGGGGGTGTGAGGGGTGTGTTTGCTGAAATTGAAGTAATTTCAGGTTCTAAAACAACTTCCTAGTATGACCTTACCAAATTAATTGTATCTTCAATTCAATAGTGCCCTTTTAAAACATTCTGCAATTTCAGTTAGCAAGTCCTGAAAAAACTTCAGATGTTACTTGAATTACAACCTCTTTTCTTTTGCTTATAAGCCATAAGGATGAGTTTACTATTATTCCTGTGTTGGTCGGAGCACTGAGTGAGTCAAAAGAGCAGGAATTTGGAAAACTCTTCAGTAAATACCTAGCTGATCCTAGTAACCTCTTTGTGGTTTCTTCTGACTTTTGCCATTGGGGTAAGTTTCACGTCTCTTCATTATAACAGCATGATGAATATTTTGTGGTGATTTTCAAATACTGTATTCAATATTACACACTGAACATTTTAACTTCTGGTAAATGTATCTTTGAAACTTAAATGCCTTTGTAAAGCTAAAAAAGGATTTCTCTTTTTTTTTTAATCTGGAACAATAGATGAAAAATATTAATGTGGTAATGTGTTTTCAGTGTAGTGGAGGAAATAAATGGTGAAGGTGTGTGGGTTTATATGCATGTCTTTACTGTTGCAGTGGAATAAGTGTCTGAAGTTTCTTGCTCTTTTTACTCTTCTTTTAAGCACCTCAAAGCAACTTGCAAAACTAATTAGCTAAAAATTCACTGGACATGGCAACATCCCTCTAACAGAAATAAGTTTTGTATGTTTTACTGCTGGGTAAGATAGCAGATGGAGTATTTATGCCAATTCACCAGAGCTATCCCAGTTCATCTTGGTGGCAGAGCTATAAAGACTCCAGAAGCCTTGACTTCTGTCCTGCTTTAACACTTTATTTTTCTTCTAAGTGTGATAATAGCTGGAAAAGGGACTGCTTCAGAAAGATATGTTTTATGTTACACAACAGACCTCCTTCCCTCTTTTCATTGTCATCTTTGGTCAACTTACATAATTAAGTGCATATTTTACTCGTCTTTGAATTGTGGAATAGGTGGAGGTATATAAGAATGACCTGGGTTCTGTTGTGGCTAATGAACCATCTAGAACTGTTCATTGAATTATCATGAACTTTTTCTTTTAACCTTCATTTACTGTGGGTATTGTTGTGCAAGCAGAAGTGGCCTGACTCCAGGGTTGACTTTGTCAAGAGGGATAATGAAATGAAATGTTGCTTTACTTTTTAATTTATAGAATTGGATTCCAAGGCAATAACAGGCAATTAATAACTGATGCTGCAGTGTCAGTTCTACGTAGCAGGTTTTTCTTTCGGAATATAGCTGCCCGTCATGTATTTTTTACTTCACTTCTGGGCTGCTACTTTGATGATTGCCCTAGAATTTCCTCAGTGGACCTAAAAAGTATAAAATAAATGAAGATTACTACTTTACAAATATTACAATTTCGATTATTTAGTAAGTACTAGGGAGTGTTTTAGCTACGATTTTTCCCTTTTTTATTTTATACATGATTTTTGTTTCAAGGTCAGAGGTTCCGTTACAGTTACTATGATGAATCCCAAGGAGAAATTTATAGATCCATTGAGCACCTAGATAAAATGGTAAGTTTTCAGATTTGGTGGAACTAACTAACAAATTTCTCCTGTACATTACATTTCTTTGAACACTTTAGAAATTTCTCTAACAAAATATTATAGATTAGCTATTTTATTGAATGTATACTTTTCCTTAGCTGTTGTTTTTAGCTAGTATCCTCCATTCTACTGACTGCGCACATTATATTGTGGGTATAATCTAGTAAGCATAATTTATGAGAATAAATGCATGTTCGCCTACCTAAAATGCCCTAGTGTAATGTAATTCCTGTCCACATACCCTCTTATGTTTTTGAGAAGCAATAAGAATCATGAATCGAGTATTGTGGTAGTTCAGGCTTGATAGCTATGATACCTGCATATGGAAACAGCATTGTGATTATGCTAATGGTTTCAGCAACATCCATTTTGAGGAGGAAAGGCTGTAGGGGATTGTGCTGGTCAGGAAAACGAAAGTCACCGTTTCCTTGGGAGTAGTCTTCCCCCCGCCCCTTACTCGGTAGTAGGTGGTGGGGGAAAAGCAGTAGACCATACTTCTTTCTGGGTTCGGCAAATGGCTGAAGGGAATGCTAAATACATAAAGATCATAGTGCCAATTATGTGGCATTTTCTTTGCAGTCACAGGAGCCAAGGATTTCTTTTTAAATGAAAAAATTGTGTTAACGTTCAAGACTGTACTTAAGGCACAGAATAGAAGTAATTCTTCTGGAAATACATAACCTTAAAATTTGTTTTAAAACCATTTGGATCATTTATGTAACTTCTGTAAAATCTGTTAGAAGAGAGGACTGTTGTTATTCAGGGCATGTTAATTTTTTTCCTTGTCTTGAAGGAATAAATCCTATCTGCTGGAGAGATCTCTGGAGTTTTTGGCTTTGTGTATCCATATTAACCTCTTTGTTTTTCCACTATTCATTGCTGGAATGGAAACAGTAAATAATTTGTCTTCATTCTGTTTGTCCCATTTTTAATAATTCTTGTTGTCAGTTGAGAGGTTTCTCTATAAAGACAAGTGTTTTTCTACAGAGTCCCAGAATTTGCAGCTCTGAGTGTTTTTGCAGGAGAGCAGATTAAGGTGCATTAGCAAACATTAGTTTCCCCTTGTTAATTTCTGTGGTGAAAGCTTGTAGAAAGACTGGACTTTAGCATTTAATTACTTTCAGTGAATACATTGCTGCACCAACTCTTTCTTTTGGTAGTTATTCAGCCAAAAGGAAATGATGTTTTTTGTAACATTGAAAATGATGTCTACTGTCTAATAACTGTGAAAATACTTTTTCAATCTTAAGTTTAACTGGAAAACTAAACATGCTGTGTAGCAGTATTCTGTGGTTATTTTTTGCCTGTTTATATCATGCCATATATGAACACGTGACTCTGTATTTAAACTCTGTACAGAGTAGGTTTTGCTTTCAGTGAATTTCAGAAATTTCTTTTTGGCAGTATCGTGGGTACACTTGGGACACTATCCACAATGCCACAAAGGTCTCCCTGTCGTGTTTCTCCAGCTTTCGGAAGGAGTTTATTAAATTTTTATGCCCCACTCAGCTACTTCTTGTTTCCTTAGATAAGTATTGAATTTTTTAATGTCATTTGGCACGCTAAAGAAACTTGTATTGCTGTAACCACTAGGCCTCTCCACAGAGAAAATAGCTTTAAGATAGACACAAAACCGTATTAAAACCATCAGAGGTTTTAACCTCTGCTATTGCTGGCCCAATAATTTTATTGGACCTAACTAGCAAAGCAGTCGGCTGAGTGCTTTGTAAGCAGGAAGATATTCTGGGTTAAGATGAAATTACTTTTCCTTAGAAATGCCCTTGTGGGAGGACAATGGTCTCTTCCTTATTTAGACTGGCCCTTAAGTACAGATGCATGATGATTTTCCTGGCTAGTGCATAAACAGCACTGAACGCTTTGGGCATTGAAGATTTACTAACCTGGTAACTGCTGTGGGAAATTTTATTTGCTGTGATTTTAAGCTAGAGCCCTTAGACTCCAGCATAAAAAAAATAGAGAGTAGTAAATATTGCTGGGCAGACATCTGTTTCTCCATGGTAACTCTAAATGTGACCGCTCTGTTACCCTGGGGGTACCACAGTGCACCTTGTGAAGTGATGGTGAAAGGAGTAAACAGCCCCACAGTTAATAAGGGTACCTTTGGGAAGAATCCTCAAATGAAGAGTTATAATTGAGCAGCTGAAGTGCAATAATTTGTTTGTATATCACCTGATACCTACCATCTTTTTAAATAAAAGTGGGGGAGTATTCTGCAAGACGTCGTTGAAGAGTAATTACTTTTTGATTATGGCTAGCCAGAAAATGCGGACTGCTCGCTTCAATCTTCACTGCCAGATTGCTCATTTTATATCTATTTGTGAAACCTTATGCCTCACTTGAGTGAATAGGAGGATTCTGTTACCCTGAATGCTGAAGGGGGAGGGTAATGCAGGCACTGAGGAGGGCTGTGCGGGAACAGCCAGCAGTTGTTGTGCAGGAGCCGTGCACAGCACAGGTGGCTTCTCGGGTGGCTCTAATGAACTGCTGAAGTCTGGTGGCTTCTGTGGAGCTGCTACGGTGTGCCAGCACCTTCCACAGTGCTCCAGCCTGGGAAGGCTTCTTAGCTTGGGCATAATGCAAGACCATGACTCTCTACCTGGGCGCCCAGCTCCCTGCTCTCTCTGCTGTGCCCAGCCAGTAATTTTCCTGTTGGTTGTTTATCTTCTAGTCTGAGTGACTCACACATACAAAGATAGTTGGGACTGGCTAGTGCTAAGACCAAGTTTGTTTCTACTTCAGTAAGTGTGCTACTAGTTTATATTTTTTTTAAGCGTGAAGAAGAAGCTGAAGTAACTGATCGCAAACTTAAACTTGACCAGCCAAAGGATTATTGGAGTATAGTATAAAATAAGCCTGTGGGTTGGTTGGTTTGGGTTTTTTTTGTAAGCGTGTAGATACTTGGTCCTATAGGGGATGATATTTAAGAATGTAATTGCTTTTAATCATATTAAAGTGCACTGTGCTAGGATATTATAGATGCCATTTACAGTGTCTGGTTAACTGAGATGTGCAATTTCTACGTGGTGCCATAATAACCATGTGATAAACTGCAGAACTGTGTGATGGTTTGCATTTTTATCATGTGGGTTTTGTCGTGTATTTTAACTCTGTTCTAAACCATGCCCGACTGAGTTATTTGGAATACTGAAAATGATTAGCTTCATACTTCTGCTTTTTAGAAAAATAAAACACAACCTGACAAAAATGTTTCCTTTGTTCCTCGACACCATTTTAGACTGAGAAACAAGCTTGGTAGTCTTTGCTCCTCTGCCACAACAATTTTTAAATCCAAAAGATTGAAAAGTTTAGTACAGCTGAATGCTTATAGGATATGCGTTAATACCCATTTCCTATGGATTTTCTCCAATCTGTGATGTATGTAGCTCTGTTAGCATTTGCTGGGATGAACTGCATAGCTCGAAATGTTTTGCAGTGCTGAACTGTGCATTGAAATAAGCTTACTAGGCATTCTGATAAATCCATGTCTGTTCATTTGAGACAAATGGTCAAATGCCTCTGCCCAGTATGTTCCAGTGACTTATAGCTATGAGTCTTTCAATTGAGCAGCCATTTTCACTTTTAAAAAGTCGTGAAAGGGTTTACAAATGGATAAAATATATTCTTATGAGCTGTTCAGTATCTGAATAAGTGCCTTATGCATGTTTAGTTTCACTTGAGTATATAGTTAAGTTTGGTTCTGCTTTCTTTAGCTGTGTATTGACATGTACAATTTACAAGTAAATGAGTGGTTCAAAGACATGCTGCTTAAACTTTAGAAATGCAATGATATCTATGTAATCACTGCTAGTTAGAGAATAGCTACCTTTATTTTTTTGGCACTCATTTAGGTTCTGTAGATCTGGAGTGAGTAACAGCTGTAATTACCGGCCAGGGGTCCAAACACCCTCTCCATGACCCTGGAAGAACTGAGCTCTTGCCAGCAATTGGTCAGCATAGTTTGGTTTTATTTTTCCGTAAAATTTCTCTCTCTATGAATTCATCTTATGTCTGTTTTTAATTAAAAGTACACAAAGGTTGTGGTTATCGTTGCTGTTTTCTAATCCTCCCTGACTCTCTTGGGAATCTCCAGCTCCTCCATTGTAAGCTGTGATCCAGTCTGAGTAATTAGCGTATCTGCCAGATCAGCCAACGCCCTTGCAGAGTATTCAGGAGGTTTCATTCTTAAGGTGGAGACTTCAGACAGACTGACTGCTTCTTGCATAGTGGTTTCTCTTTTTATCACTCACACTTTCCCAAAAGCAGGGGAAGGGGTTGGGACAATTGCAGAAACCTCAGGAGAAATTCTCTCCCTTTCTGATATCAACCTCCCATTGTTCCCATGCAAGGTGTATGTTTTTTTTTCCAGTCTCTAAGGAAAACCTTCCTGTTTCATCAGCTACATGTAAGAAGCACAGCTATGTGTCTTACTGAATTAGTGAGCGTCTGGAGCTCATTTACCTGGTGAAGGGAATTAATCATTTTCAGAGGAAGGAAAAACACAAGAGGATGGAGTCTAATACAGGCAAAATAGCAAAGCCATGATAAAAGCCAGACAATAGTTGATTTAGACTTGCTTTAAACTACTCTTATTGTATTTGATCTTCTCTGTGGGATGGGGTAAGAGTAGGCTGTATGTGGAGTTGTAGGATTCTTTTTGCTTTTAAGAATGCAGATGTTTGTATATGTGGAAGGTTTTGTTTTTCATACGTGTTCTGGTTTCCATAGTATGACTCCATGGGATCATGGGTCTCACTGTGGATGGAGAAAAGGATGTATATATGTGGCTGCCTCATGTAAAGTGGAAGCATCATCTCCTGGCTCTTACGTTTCTGTCGTGCACCAACTTTCTAGTGCTTTAGAGATGTTCTGGATCTGCTTTTTATGCTCTGAGCAGATGGTCAGCCTGTGCCCAGATCAGCTGCCTTGCATGCCTGATGTGTCTAGGATACATTATGCTTGCTACGTGCTTGAATTGCATGTGTGTATATTGATGATTTGTCTAGGGTTTTTGGACATCCAGAAGTCCCAGGCAAGTGCTCAGCCCTGAGCTCTGTTACCAGGGAGAAGAGATGGAGGCAAAACTTCTTCCTGCTTTGCCCTTTTAGTAAATTTGTCTGGTTATTGCTGTACAAAACCCTATGGAAGTAGGGGACCCTTGGAGGTGGGGATCAGCTAGTCTGCGGGAGGAGCTTTTTTAATATGAGCTTTACTGGTATCTGCAAAGGTAGCTTCACAGATCTGTGGATCATTGACAGCTTTGGAAGAGCTCCTGCACTTTTAGTTTGGCAAGGGATGGCAACAAGATGACTACAAGCTAGAGCTCACATGCTGAGATTCCCTTGATACCCTTGATACAAAGTAGAGTTTTCTTCCTCCTGAAGTATTCTGTGTTATGATAAATAGGTGATGTATAAACACCTGCTTATGAATGTGTGAAGTAATCATTGCTATCGATTCTTTTTCAGGGTATGAGCATTATAGAGCAGCTAGATCCTGTATCTTTTAGCAATTACTTGAAGAAATACCATAATACAATATGTGGAAGACATCCTATTGGCGTGTTATTAAACGTAAGTAACTTTTGATTTGTTGAAAAATGTAACTTTTAGCAAAACGCTTACACTTGTTTTAAATAGAATATTGCTGGAGTATTCCTTAGTTCTAAAATGGCGAGTCTTGAATTAATTTATTTTTCCAAGTGTTCTCAACTTGGTCTCCAATTTCCATGTCTTGCATATAGACAAATGTAAGCTCTTACAAGGGCTGAGGGTTTTCAGTTACCTAAGGGAGATGAGGTACCATGTTCCTTTTGAATTTCAATGAAATACAGTCATTCACCTTCTCTTGGCCCTAAATAAACAAACAAATAAATCCATCTCCCTGAAGAAGTACATACTTACTCTTTTGAGTCAATACTTACAAACATGAATATATTTTTTCTGTATTGCTGTTAGCTAGCTATTGTGAGTGCCTTGTGATGTCTGGCAGCGTGTTTGAGTTTTGCAAATATGATGAGAGATTGCTTCTGTAAGTATTAGTGCAGTGCACCATTAACTCATAAATTAATGGCAATTAGAATTCAGATTAACTGGTACTTTCTAGTTAGTGTATTCTGCTTTGGTGATGCAGTACAGACATAAACCTGGCTTAACTTAGTTGTCTAAATTGGGTCACAGCTGCTTTACAGCACTGCTGGAGTGCTGCAGATTTCTCATATTGCTTTTGAGTGAATCTCACTGTATTTTTACTGTAATTCAAATCTGAAACAGGAAGCATGTTAACCTTTTTAAAAGGGAAAACTTAATTCACTGGAAAGGTAGTCTATAGGGAGAACATATAGAGGAACCTCTTAAACTGGAGTCTATAAAAGTTTGTATGAGCAATATCAATGTTGGGGATGCATGTAGCAATATTCAGTACTATGACAACTCTGCAAAAACATCCAACTCTTAACCTCAGATAATGATTAGTTTTGCAGTGAATCTGAGCTAAATTCTGTTCATTCACTTTTGCCAATTGTCACGCTTCAATAAATTATCTTGGTACATTCTTTTTCCTTCATGGAAGAAATACGGTCTAAAAAGTGTTAATAATATTGGGGTTTTTTTCCTGTTACATCTGTGTTTCTGTGTAAATTCCCTATGGAGCTGAAAGCATTATTTCTAAAGGATCTATTTTGAAAGGTTGTTTAGTATTGCTTTATAGAACTGCATGGAGGTACATAGTGCAGTGAGGGGAGCGTCAGTGAATGAAACGGCACAGAAATGGGTTAGGTCCACAAATTACTCGGAGGTGCTTATATTATTATGAGAGATGGTGCAAGGACCCCCAGGTGAGGGGAGAGGACTGAGATCTAGAAAATGTCATCATTTCACCGATACATTTTTTAAACAGCTTTTTTTCTCTCTTCAGGCTATCAACGAGCTCCAGAAGAATGGAATGAATATGAGCTTTTCATTTTTGAATTATGCTCAGTCAAGCCAGTGTCGAAACTGGCAAGACAGTTCTGTGAGTTATGCAGCTGGAGCACTTATGGTCCACTGAACCGCTGAATGCTCAGGGATGGCGCCTGCACACACTCTGTATACGGGGTCCCAGCCTAGCCCTTACAAAGATACAGTCCCCGGTCTTTGGGTATACTGAAACCTCAAAATAATAGAACTCTCTTCTTTTCTAGTAGGTGTAGTCCTTCCTTAGTTTCAACTCATTTAAAAATGCTTTCTTGTTTAGGACAATGGAAGGAAGGCTGGTATTGAAACATTCTGTGATTTTTTTTTTATTTTTTTTTTTTTTTTTTAATTTGGAAAAGATAATGGCTATGAAGGCATGGTGGCAGACAGTCCTTACAAATACAACATGTAAAGCATTTACCATATCCTAAATTTGCACTCTTTGCAGACCTGTGCACATGTACTCAGCTTTCAGAATAGTTTTGCAAGTTGTAAACGGAAAAAGGGGTGGAAGCTTTTTAATAAAAGAAAAAAAGGAAAACAACGCATTTATAAATGATCCTGTATTAGAATATAATAAAACTCCAGTATAGTCAGTTACTACCCATGATGTACAACAGATATCTTCTATTTTAGTTGCTAATAAAGGGCTACACAAACCAAAATAGTCTGATTTAAACTTATTGCTTTGTGTTCTGTATGTGGCTGCTTGTCATTAACATCCTTTATCCTCAGTTCTTACACTTGATAATTCAGCCATTCTGTAAAATACTTTAGAATGTGTTTTATATTCAACATTTGTTATGACTACTTCATTTAAAGATTTTTTTAATCTTAAACCTGCACTATGAGTTCAGCTGTGCAAAAGAATTTTAAAAACCTTTTGTATATTCTAATTTTTTTTTTTACAATTATCTATAAAATAGTATCTTTTAGTATGTGATACAAATTTGTATCAGAAATACACTTTTAATGATTTTTATGCTCAGTTTGATCATTAAAGTGAAATGGGTGCAGTATTTTTATTTGAAATGATTTAAAACTGAAAACAAACAGTAGCTTGAAAATGATAATTCTTAGAGCATCTATCAAGTATTCATAGGCCACAGAAGCCACACAGTGCTAAGCTCAAGCAATTATTCCTCAAAGATTTAATTGGGAGGGGAAGGTAAGGCTTCTCTTTTTTTTTTTTTTTTTTTCATTTTTATTTTTTATTCTTTATTCTTTGACTGTGGGTAGAATTGTTTCATGTTCTTTAAACATCATCACATCTTAGGAGTTCTTGAACTTTCTTCCAGTCAAAATAATGGTGTAATTATTTGAGTTGTTATCATTCCTGAAGACTTCCTTTTGATCTGATAAGGAATGCAAAGTAGGGTGGCAGTACTGGCTCATTATCTAAATGGAGATTTCATTCCCTGATATCTCACCTGCTGTCAAGCAACTTCCTGGTACATTCAGCTTTTCTGAGTGGCAGAGGGGAATTTCAGAATTCAATTTAGATTATCTTTGAAAGTTGTGGGAATTGCTGCATACAAAGTCTTTACCTTTCAGTGTACCAGACATCTTGAGTTTTCTGTTAAAGTACCCTTTTTGCAAGCAGGCACTGCTTGCACCACTTCTATTTTCCTTATCACAGTTGGCTACCATTTTAATAACAACAGGTGAATGCTCCATTTACAAAATGAACTACTTTGCAGATGTTCAGAATCCATCCCAAATGCCAAACTCCTTTGCATGTCTGTTCTTTTAGTTGCCTTACTGCTCTGCCTTGTTCTTGAAAAGTCTCAGCAGCAGACAGGGAAAACAACTTTCAGATTACTTTTGACAGACCAGCGGGAAGGCTGTGCAGGTAAAACTGAGCTGGTAGCCGGTCTTTATAAATACTTGTCTGACTGTGCCTTATTAAAAAAAAAAAAAAAGTAGTTTGATCACGAAGATTAGGTTTTGGGTTTTGTTTTTTTTATCTTTGGTGAATACAAGTTCAATTAGGACTCAGGTTTCTTTCAGTCTTATGCCAAATGCTTAATGTCATTATTGAAACACATAGTTAACTGGAACAGTTAAGTATATATTTTCTCCCTACGGTAAACATAGTAATTAGCTTCTGAATACAAATGCCTAAGTTGCATCTTAGTTCTGTAAGATAGTTTTAATAAAAACAAAACATAACTGGAAGAGCTTCAAGGAAATTGGTCAGCCATTTTGCTCAGCACAATGTTATGAAGTATCTTACAGTGAAAGCACTTCACATGTAAACTGTGTAATGTATTTCAAAATAAAGTTTCTAATCAAAATGGGAATTTCTGTGCCTACTAATAATAACCAGCAATGACAGTTCAGAAGCCCACTCAGAGAAATTTAAAGCTTTGTGAAATCTGCTCTAACTTCAGAAGGATTTGTTGTAAAACCCCTGTTTGTTTGAGCGCAGAAAATACCTGATTTCAAAGAACTCAATTTTTTTTGGTCTCGATATTTGGTGGGGTTGGAGGGAGTTGACTTCAGTGCTCAGTTTCCTGGTGAGTCAGTTTAAAATGTGTCAGAAGGAAAAGCAAATAAGGAGAATAACGAACTCATGATAAGATCTTCACTGAAGACTATAGTTTCATTATTTTAGCTTTACCACACGTTTTATTCTCACTCAAATATGCATTTGAATATAGCATTTTGGGACAAAGTGTCTGGTTTAGACAATAATGAATATTCACAGTTCTATTCACTTTTGTGGAGGCTTCTTCTGTGTGTAGGATGACTGAGCTTTGACCGCTCTTCTGGTGCAATAAATCCAGCCAGGGACGTGATTCTCATTTTAAAATTTTGACATTTTAGAGAAATGTTCAATGTGTGAAAATGTTGATTAAAATACTCCTTTGTTCTTCTGTTCCCCTGTTCACAAAAGACCCTTATGGATTTTATTTTTTTAAATACTGTCTTTAAAAAGCGCTTTTAAAGTACTGTCTACTGAATTCTTCATTCTTCAGCTTAATGTTTTTGACATTGAAATGGAGCAGTAGGTCTTCCACTGCTTTGGGTTTAGATTAGCAGAAGCAGGAGAAAGCACAGGCATAAGCGGCGTCCCGCTGCTGGGCGGTGACTGCCTCCGTGGGCATCAGGAGCCACCTCTTGCTTTTAACTGAGTGAGAACACGTGCCCCTCGCGGCACCTGGGTGCTCTCAGCATGGTGAGAGCTAGATGTAGCTACTTCAACTCTCGGCCTTCGTCAGTTCATAATGACTGTTCGGCTTCATTTATGTAAAAAATCATGACTTGAGTGGCTTTGATCCCATGTTATTTTTTGAACTGAACTCTCACTCCAGTGCAGTCTCCTTTCTTGGAGCCTTCGGAAATGCCGAGTTTGCCTGAGCGCGTTTTTAGACCCAGCTCTTGCTCTTGCTGTTTCCCAGTCAGGGGTTCATTGCTGTGTCTTGGGGGTTCTGGATATTGCTGCAGGCTTTACTCGGGAATTTGGAATTGACATCTCGAGCACTGACATGGGGGGTTTCCTTTTGATGCCTGCACACGGAGTCTCCCGGTACTTTGGCATGCCATTTTGGTGGTTGGTGTAGTGTAGGGTTTTTCCATTTCACATTTGTCCTTTTCCCCTTATTCCCTCAGGAAAAATGCTCTCCTCTGCATCAAAGGAAGCTTTGCTTTCAGATGACATCAGTCACCATGATTTGCAGTTGTTATTTCCTTGGGCTGAGTTCAGTGTGCTAACTAGCATCTGATCCGCTCTCAAAAATTGCCCAAACTATTATGTTCACGGAGAAATGTTTGAAGTCCCTCGTATAGGTGACCTTTTGCCTTCCTATTTCTCTGAGAAACTTTCTGAAATTAAGCCTTCAAGCTAGCCTATGAAAAGCTCTTCAGTGTGAAGAAAAACTGAATTTCAGGATCCAGTTTAGTGCCCCCCAAAGATGTGAGATGTTTTGGTTCGGGGCCCACAGTGCAGCCAGATGGCCTTTTCAATAGATGGTTGCAAAACATAATTTGGAATGGGTCTGTAGGGATGAACTGACTTTTATTCCTTCAGTAATGCAAAATCTATTGCCTCTGTTCTAATTGTCTCTAGAGCTTGTTTTTATTTCAATTTTTTTTTTCTTATTTGATTTTGTCTAATTCTAAAAAGAATTTGTCCATGCGTGCTGCAGGCAACTTCCAGATGTCTGGTGTCATTTGGGGGTTATCTTATTCCAGCACTAGCTGAAAACTCAGCATTGGCTTCTTCCTGTCTTGTCTGGTGCCTATTTAGTATGTGCATTCCCTAATGCCAGGGTCTGAGACATCTCTCCCATTGCTTATACCCCAGGAATGAAAATGCCATGGTAGTGATATTTCTAAATTACGGAAGAGATTATGTCAGTTTGTTTGCTTCTGTTTTTTGGTTTTGGTTGGTTGGGGCTGGCATCGGGGAGGGGGGTTGGTAGAGGCTTGGATCTTTTTGGAAAGGGTAGAGAGATGAGGAGAATGGGCATAGACGGGGAAGAAAGCAGTTGCTTTTCTAATTTAATGTCAGCAACTGTCCTGCTATCCTGTTTGGGAGCTGACACGCTGCAAAATATTGCCCAGTGCAGCTGTGGGCTGGCTGCAGTGGTGGGCAGCCTCTTGCTGCGACTTCAAAGAGAAGAAATGTTGGATGTATTTTGTCAAGTCTAGCTCAATTTGTTGAAGCTCAAGGGCGAGAATCCTATGCCGATATCTTTAAGTTACAGGTAAATAAAGGTAAATAAAGGTGTCTTGGCCTTTATGCAAAGGTGACAGAAAGACCTCCTCACCCCCCAGGTTTCTAAGTCGATGTGTTTGGTTCTCGGTGGATTTAAGAGAAGTAAATAATTACCTCAGCCCTGTGATCTCCATTGACATTAATGTAAATATGTATTCCCCACAAACAGTTCTATATACCTTTTTCAAAGCTTGTGAAACCAAAACTATTTAATTACTGTTTTCAAACAAAAATATATCCTAATTTGAGTAGTTGTATTTAAATCCCATTAAAGAATTATCCAGGGCCTCAAATCCACTGTGAGTGAAGCTGGTAATGAAACTTTAGACTTCAGTGATACAGTATCTGCTCTGTATATGACAAAGGCCTAAATGACAAGAGGAATAAAACATTGTGTCAAGCATTAAACTAGGAAGTCTCCAAACCTAAACTTCTCAGGTACCTTTTTTTCTCTAGTGAATTTTAAAACAGTGAGAAATTACTTTCCTGAGCTTGTGACTGCAGCTTCACAAGACTGAAAACAGCAGTGCTCTTGGGTGAAGTCCCTTCTTAGGTAAAAAGGTGTTTATTATATTTTTCAGCTGAACTCTTGCAGCACAAAGTGGAGTGCTAGCATCTTAGTGCCTGGGCCGCAGAGGCAGAGGCTTGACTGAGCTGCCGGGCTGTGCCAGCAGGTAGGGAAAGGTGTCCCCTGGGATGTGTCGGCTGATACTTAAATGACTTTCCATTTGTCTCCAGGAATTGTTATAAAGATTTGGAGAGCGAGCCTTTAAGCTCAGCTGTGATGAATCAGCGTTGAGCTCGTGCATATTTTTTATGACAAAAATCTATTTTCCTTTACGATCACAGTCCAAAGAGCCAGTGTTAAAAATAACCTGTCAGTAAGATGTCTGCAATAAACGGCTGGTCTGGAAATGCTGAGTGGTGTCACAACTACTTTCA